AAAGTCGTGCCTCATTGTCGACACCTGAGCGCCTGGCGTGGTTGAGTTTGCAACTGCGAGTTGCGCGTTGAAGGTCTGCGCTAGATGTCCCCAAAGCAAGCTTTTCGTCAACGGTTTGTCTTTAGACCGCGCACTTTGCACGACGCAAGCCACTGACTATCTCTGCGCTTGTGCAAGGTTCGAAACTCACAAAACATGGGACATTCCTCACTGACCCCACAAAAACCTTCTAGAGCAACCAAGGCCGCTCGACGGTGTCTGGCGCGCGTTCGATCGCGCGCTGGAAGGGTGTAGGGGAGCAGGATCAGAGCGGTGTGGAGCGCTGAAGACTGTATACGCTCGGGCCAGCAAAAAAAGAGTCACAGCTGGTAAGTACATGACTGAACAGCAGGTGCGTCGAATCCCCGTCCCGAATCCGTATCAGTGACTCCGAACAGCCTCTTCGTTGGACTGCCGCTGTTGCGAGGAGTCAGGCAGGCAGTCCCCTGCCGTTTATTCTTTAATTTGTAAGCCCTTTGTAATAGCGGCTTAGACACACTCGAGATATGGTTCGTTTAGTCTTAATGCCACTTACCCTGAAGCTGCCTAAGTATTTCAAATTTTAAGTCTTCAATAGACAGGGTTGAAGTGGTGCTGCGTCTGACCGTCAAAACCACCATAAAAGGACGCAAGTTCAATAGAATTTGCAGTTCCAGGTTCCAAGGCTCATTGTGTCACCGCAGAGTGCAAACCAATGCACAATTCAAAGCTTGTTACAAAGACGACCTGGACTTCAAGAGGTAGCCAAGCCATCGCAGGTACGCCAGACTGATCAGGTTTGCCTTCACCACCAATTGCAAGCGTCTTTGTTGGCAGGAGTCTTGCAACGGCGCTCTTGCCCTCTGCTTAAAAGCTTTTGGCACCCCCTGTGACTCCGCAGGTAACACACACACACACACGTGGCCAACAACCCCTGGGCAGCAAAGTGGATGCGAAAACGCACGTGCGCGCAGACAAGAGAGAATGACCAGACATGAAAAATAGGACGCGAAAGGGGCCAAGGTGTAATGGAGAGAAAACCGTGCAGCAACCAGATAGCCACTGGGGCGCCTGAAAGCCGAGCTTGCTTGTAGTTGTGCACGTGCACGCTAAGGTCGGTGCAAGTAGTGCGCAGGCAAGAGAAGAAAGGGGATGATGACAAGACCTGAAGATGGCGGAACAGACATGGATGAAGAGGCCGAAAGGTGTGCAGTTGCAACAAAAGAAGGAAACCAGGTGAAGCAGACAAGCCGAACAAAAAGGCCCGAACCTCATTGTCAAACCTGGGGCAAATCGCCTAGCTAAGGTTGCGTGTAAGCCGCGCGCGTAGTTAAGGCCCGGACCGAGACCCAACGATCTCAATCGAACGTACGGTCACTGCGACCACCTTGCGCCGTGTGCGCCCGCAGTGGGCTACTTAGCCATCCGGCCTGCTCCACGTTTCACGAGGGGTCAAATCTTAATCACTGGTCTAGACACCTTCTTCTCGGGCAGGGAGAAAGAGACAGGGCTCACTCCCTGCGGTGCGAGGCCAGACACACGTTGAAGCTGCCTAAGTATTTCAAATTTTAAGTCTTCAATAGACAGGGTTGAAGTGGTGCCGCGTCTGAACGTCAAAACCACCATAAAAGGACGCAAGTTCAATAGAATTTGCAGTTCCAGGTTCCAAGGCTCATTAGAGTGCAAGAGACGACCATGGCCCAAGACGTAGCGTCAAGTCATCACTGCAGGTCAGGATGTTAGAAGTGGACACCGTATATGGGTTCACGTAGATTTCCGTCATGATCAGCGTTTCTTGAAAGCCATGGATGTCTAATTGCATCATCATGGGCAAGATATAGTGTAGCTCGGAGGGCATCAGGGCTGATCGCCTTGACGTACCCTGTGTTTTGACCGCTACCCACTTGGCCTGTGCGCGTAGTGTGGAAGACCTTGTCCATTGCTCCGGTTTTCTGAATCTTTAGATTCAGATGCGTCATTTAGGGTTCGGAGGATGTTTAGACCGTCATGAAGCATGTTTCGCCTGGTTTTCGGAGTGGCGTGTGGCATTCATACCGTACTTTTTCTCGAATGCGTCTCTCTCTCATTGAAAGCTTGGAGTGACCCAAAGGAGTGCCTCCCAGTGGCCCCAGTCGAACGGGAGCGTCATCCTTGCGTTCAGCAAGCGCAGGAGCCCATAGCGGGCTATAGTTAGAATCTGATACCTTCGTGTTGACTGGAGCAAACTTTTTGCCAGAAGGTGTCCATAGCAGGCGAGAGGAACCAGCGCTACCCTGCTACGCAGGCAGAGCAGACCGCAGAGGTTGCTGTCACTGTTGAGTGAGCTCCAGACCCGTCATAACGTAACGCACGCACGCTTTTCATACATAGCCAGGCTAGGTCGCCCAGGTTTTCTTTAATGGGGTTTGGGCCTTGCCTCGTTTGTCCCTCTCTCATCCGGCTTCCCCGTCATTTGCAACCACGGGCTTTCTTGTCCCGTGTTTTCTTTCATGTCACTTCCGTGTTCGCGTCCTCTCATCTCATTTCCTTTGTTCTTTTGCGCGCGCATCTGCCCCGACCTTAGTGTGCTTGGTGCAACGAGGCTTTGCTCATCGGTTGTCCTGGTCGTTTGTGAGCCCGAAGTAGTGCCCTCCGTGGCCCAGTTGAACTGGGGATGCAGTGCGGATGCTCCGTCGCGATGATGGACAGAGCAGAGCCAGCTCAAGAGTGATATCAGCGATTTGGTCTTGAGCTGCCCGCCGGCCAGAGTAGCCTGTCTTCGACGTGGCCCAGCTGTCAGTGTACGGGAGATCACACCTAGTTTTACGTGTGCAGTGCGTCTCGTGCCAAGCTTGGCTATTGTTTGTTCCTTCCATCTGGTTTCCCTCATCGTCGACCACATGCTGTCCTTTTTGTTCTTTCGTGTCTTTCCCGTCTTCACGTCCTGTCATCTCATTTCTCTCATTTTTTGCGTGCTCATCTGCGTCATGAGGTTTTGCTCATCTGTTGTCCTTGGTCATCTGGTTTCGTTTTAGCCTCCACCTACATTGCGCGTTTTGATATCTTTCTTCCCGTTTCTTCATGCGTTCTTTTGCGTGTTCCCTCAAGCGCCCCCCAATGGTTGTAACCTTTGGATTCACAAGGAGCCGGCGCACGGCATCCACAACCCACGGTGTACTTAGGGCTAATAGCGAACATCGTTACTAGTAAGGCACTTGTTACTACCAAGTCGCGCAGTTCTCGCCTTTCAGTGAAAGGAATTTTGTCTTTTCGATCGTGACCTTTGGCAGCTCGCAAGCGGACACAAAACATCGCACTAGCGAGTTGTGCAGTTCTCAGAAGACAGAAGACAAGATGCTACAACAGTCGTTGTGCTTCTTCTTTTTGTATTCAGTTGCCGAGTTTTTTGCGACATTTTCCCGGACCGACACGAGTGGACGAACTCGTGTCGTTCGTCGCCGTATCTGTCAGGCCCGGTTCGAGAAAGTTCAAGAATTGTTGGAAGAGATTTCATTTTGCCAAGAGCGTTGGGCTTTGCTGGACGAAACCTTCAGCACAAAGAAGAAGAAGGTGAGCGAAGTCGCGGCGTTCCAAAAGCTGGACTCCAACTGGAAGGCAGCTGCAGCTATTCTTTGACATATTTTTAAACTCTTGCTTTTTCACCCGGTTAAGTTTCCCTAAAAGTCTAGGAGCCAAATGAATAGTGCGAGCTCTTCTTCAAGGAAGCTTACCTCCACTAGCGGCCTACCCCCTCTTTAAAATACAAATTCTACTGTATTCTTCTTTTAAAGGGGTCTGTTTCTGCTGTGCCGTCTTCTTCTTCCTTCCTTGTTTTCTTTTTTTTCATCCACCCCCTTCTCCTTACCTCCTTGCTTCTCCTTGAGGCCCTGTTGAGTCGGTTGCAGTTTCGGAACGTGATCGAAGTGGCGTTGGATCAATGTGCCAACTTCCGGCAGCTTCGAGAGGCACGGCTCCGCGTCGCGGCGACAGAACAAGAAACAGATTTGACGGAACTTTGGAAAGAAACACATTTTTGCATTTTTTGATTTTTTTCGCAAATCATATTCTTCTTTCTCTCTCTCTCTCCTTTCTTTCTACAAAACACTAGAGCTTTAGGTTAGAAACTACTCATTTGGGTTAGAAGCACGGGTTGGACATTCTGGCAGCTCACGACAAATGACTCCGATTTCCGACTTGGATGTCGATATGATTTCAGCCCAAGCGCTCTATTTGTGAGCACGTGTTGCAGAAGCTAGAAAGGCGCCGAATGCTCCCAATTGTTAGCCTTCAGTATAGTCGTTGGGGAGCAAGCCCCACACTCAAACTAGGAGGCGGATGCCATCTCACGCTGCTGTCTACTCGAATGGGTCGCTTTTGGCATTTGCTTTTGATTTATTTTGGAGGCCATCGCTAGGGTGGAGGCCATTGCTAGGTTGGCCATATTTTTTGCGTTTGGCTTTGCAGCTTCGACTTCATTCTACGACCGGCCTCGGGTTTCGTTGTACGCTTCACTAGTGCGCCTTTAGGAGGCGCACCCTGTTTTTAGAGTCAGAGAGATTCGTCGAGTCTAGAGGTCGGGGTAGAACTTTTTGATGCATGTTCATAGTGCCCTTTGGAGGCAATGGAGAGCATCTCGAGAAACTTGCAGATGAACCCTTGAAACAGATGAGGGTTGAACCCTGGACAGCTGAAAATTGCTGTGCAACAGTGCTGAAGAACAGCACTAAAGGGGCGAAAGCGTCGAGAAAAAGGGCGAAAGCAGACAACGAGCAAAAGGAATCTAAAAACTTTACAAGAATCACATTAAGCGAACGCTAAAAAGCATTTTGATGCTCAACTGAAACACATAGCCAACTGATCCGAGACTCAACCATGCCAACGTGAACTGCACCGGGGTAGCTGTAAGGAGTAGGTCTCTAAGCAGTACGACTCAGAACGACATGAAAGAGACATGAAAGACATGAAAGAGATGACGGCACCAGTCGTCCAAAAAGACTGCCAACATGTCGTTGCAATGGAGGAAGTGCCTGGGCGAACGATGGTTTGAGGGCCCGAACTTTGCGCTAATGGGAAAGGCACTGGTGAAAGAAGGTGAACATAGCCATTTGATGGAGTAGTTTGTCGGATTTGTCTTTGTCACATTGAGTTTTGAGAAGAACGTGTGCAAACGTGCAGCAAATGTGACGAAAACGCTTTGACTTTTTCTTAGGCGTTTGAAGGATGTGGCTGCTCTGCATCTACGACAAATCCCATGCCTTCATGCTGCCGGCCGTTTAGATGAAACGAGAAACAGAGAAACGACAAAGAGAATATGAAAAGAAGATAAACTTGTTTTTAAAGACAAAGGAAACGACGGGTCCTTTGATCAGAGACCACACAAGTCTTCCATGAAGAAGAAAGCAAGACAAGAAGACAGATACATAAAGAAAGATGACAGAGTCTTTAAAAGAATAGAGTCAAAAGCAAGATGGAACCCACGAACCCGAATGCAAACACGTACTCAAAAACAAACACCCCAACAATCTTTGACCCTCTTGTAGGAGACACTTTTGTGGGACACCTTGCATGACACTCAGACTCACTCTTGTAGGACACTCTTGAGGGACACTCTTGTAGGACACTCTGTTGTGGGAGACTACCAAAGTCTCCAAAGTCAACCCTCACGCCAGCAGGAAGCTCCATGGGAGCACACGCATCAAGCAGCCCTGCCAAGCAGTTTTGCGATTCCAGCCCCTCCAAACAACGCCCGCGCGCGCGACATTCACCCCCACCACACCTCGCAACCTCACGATTCCCTGCGCCTGCCACGAAAATCGCGCTTCCACACCTCAAAGCACGCACAAAGTACTGCGCCTGCTGCGAAAAGTGACTCATGTGAGCTTCAACAAAATTTGCACCGTGCCACACTTTCGGAATGATTTCGACACGTTCTGAGCACACTCCCATCCACCAAAATCACCGTTTGAGCTGAGACTTGTCACGAAAACACAGCTTCGATGCAACGCCCTGAAACGCAAATCCCAATGTCACAGCTACATCCAACGAGAAAACTCCGAATCAGCGACCATGGTCCGAATCAGCGACCGCGAGTCAGCGACCAGCTTTTCCGAATCAGCCACGCATCAGCGACAAGGTGCCAGCGACCAGATTTTGCAAATCAGCGACCGGCTTTCCGAATCAGGGACCAGATGCCAGTGACCCGTTTGTGGCGAAGTAGCGACCAGGTAACAGGGCTTAGCCACAGGGCTTAGAGCCTGTAGATGGCGATTGGCTGGACAGTCGGTGAGACTACGGGCTCTTACGGTAATCGTTGAGGCTCGGTGTTTGGTCGAGGTGTTCCACGGCGTCTCCGGCTAAATCGCTGCTATTCGCACATGCCTCTCGAGATCCTCGAAGTGCGTTTCAACTGCGCAGGCTCGCAAAATCCGGTTTAGGGCTTCACTTCTTTAGGGTTTGCTTGGGCTTTGTTTAGGGCTTGGCTTCTTTAGGGCTTGTTTGTGCTTGGTTTAGGGTTGACTTCTTTAGAGTTTCTTTGGGCTTGGTTTAGGGTTACACTCTTTCAGGGTTAGATTTGGGCTTCGTTTTTTGGCTTCTTTATGCATTAGGTTTGGGGCTTGGCTTTTTTGGGGTTGTTCGTGCCTGGTTTAGGGTTGATGTCTTTGGGGTTTCTTCGGGTTTGGTTTTTGGCTTCGTGTCTCTAGGGTTTGCTTGGGCTTTGTTTAGGGCTTGACTCCTTTAGGGCTTGTTTTGGGTTGTTTTAGGGCTTGCCTTCTTTAGGAGGGTTTCTTTGGGATTGGTTCGGGGCTTGGCTTCTTTCGGGTTTGATTGGGTTTGGTTTAAGATTGGCTTCTTGAGGGTTGGTTTGGCTGGTTTAAGGTTGGTTTAGGGCTTGACTTTTTTTGGTGGTTGTTGATAGGCTTGGTTTCAGGCTTCTCCTTTAGGGGTAGTTCTGGCTTTGTTTATGGCTTGGCTTTTGAAGGCAGGTTTGTTTTCATTTGGTTTCGGGCTTGACCTCTCAACTTTCGGGTTTGTTTGGGCTTGGTTTAGGGTTACACTCTGTTAGGGTTTGTTTGGGCTTCGTTTTGGGCTTGTCTTCTTTAGTTTAGGCAGGTTTCGTTTGGGCGGTGTTTAGGGCAGGGGTTCTTTAGGCTTTGTTTAGGGCTGGTATAGGGCTTGACTTCTTTGATTTGTTTAGGGTTGGTATCATGTTTCACTTCTTTCGGGATTGCTTTGGCTTTGTTTTGGGCTTGGCTTCTTTGGTGGGTTTCGTTGCGGCGGTGTTTATGGCTTGGCTTCTTTAGGGTTTGTTTGCGCTTGGTTTTGGGTTGTTTTCTTTAGGGTTTGTTTGGGCTTGTCTCGCGCTTGACTTCTTTAGGTTTTCTTCGGGTTTGGTTTTTGGCTTCGTGTCTCTAGGGTTTGCTTGGGCTTTGTTTAGGGCTTGACTCCTTTAGGGCTTGTTTTGGGTTGTTTTAGGGCTTGCCTTCTTTAGGAGGGTTTCTTTGGGATTGGTTCGGGGCTTGGCTTCTTTCGGGTTTTGATTGGGTTTGGTTTAAGGGCTTGGCTTCTTGAGGGTTGTTTGGCTTGTTTAAGGTTGGTTTAGGGCTTGACTTTTTTTGGTGGTTGTTGATAGGCTTGGTTTCAGGCTTCTCCTTTAGGGGTAGTTCTGGCTTTGTTTATGGCTTGGCTTTTGAAGGCAGGTTTGTTTTCACTTGGTTTCGGGCGTGACTTCTTAACTTTCGGGTTTGTTTGGGCTTGGTTTAGGGTTACACTCTGTTAGGGTTTGTTTGGGCTTTGTTTTGGGCTTGGCTTCTCTAGGCTTTGGTTGGGCTTGGTTTACGGCTTGGCTCCCTGAGGGTTTGTTTTTTCCCGAAAGCATTGCGAAGGGTTCTTCTGGAAAATCACTTGAACACGTACACTGCTATACTTACACTTGAACACTTACACTTCTATACTTACAATGGCGCAGAAGTATCCAAGTGAAAGTTTGCAAGTGAAAGTATGCAAGTGTAAGTACCCCAGTGTAAGAGTGAAAGCGTCCAAGTGCAAGTATGCAAGTGTAAGTATCCCAGTGCAAGTATGCAAGTGTAAGTATCCCAGTGTAAGCGTGCAAGTGTAAGTATTCACCAGAAAAATTTGACTACCTAGATCAGAGTAGGATTAGATCAGAGCAGGGTCGCATGACATTCTATGTTTTTCTATTTTTTGCATTTTCACATGTTTTTATCACTTTTCCACATTTTTTAATCATATGTTCACATTTTAAATCATTTCTCACATTTTTCACATTTTTTCATTTTATTTTATTTAACAAGTGTTACTTTTGTTGGAAAAACACCTCAAACACAACATGGTTAATCAAATTGTGTTTCTTGGGGAGAAGTTATCCCAACGGCTGAACACAACTGACTGCAGCAGTCATATCACGCTCCAGTTTGCATGTGAAATTATGTTTTTGCATCTTTTTGCATATTTTTGCATATTTTCTCATGTTTCGAGATTTTTCGAGATTTTTTGAGATGTTTTGTGTTGTTGATTTTTTCTTTTATCACCTCGAGATTTTTTGAGATTTTTTGTTGCTAAGATTTTAATTAAAAACATTTTTTTGCATTTTTTGGCAGTTTAAATCTCTTATCGAGATTTCAAACCTCTTTTGAAAGTCTTCCATTCCAAGGCCTCTCCGGTGAAGGTCATTGAATTTTCTTGGTGACGTGTGCAAGTGTGAGTATGAAAACTTTCACGGGAGATATCCTAATGAAAAACATTCCCCCACTTTATAAATTCTCTTTGAAGGCGGAGGGTGGGACGAACAGCGTCAACCGAAAACGCAACCCTCTGCGGAGATCGTGCGTGTCGAGTGCGCGAAATGCAGGCGAGAGCACGATTTGTCCTGGCCGCGCGCAACCCTCTGCGGAGATCGTGCGTGTCGAGTGCGCGAAACGCAGGCGAGAGTGCGATTAGTCCCATGCCCGCGCAACCCTCTGCGGAGATCGTGCGCGTGGAGGGCGTGAAATGCAGGCGAGAGTGCGTTTTGGAGACTTGTCACTTCACTTTTGGAGGAAGTCTCGCACGAAACGCTCGTTTTGGAGACTTGACGCTTCACTTTTGGAGGAAGTCTCATACGAAACGCTCGTTTTGGAGACTTGCCGCTTCACTTTTGGAGGAAGTCTCGTACGAAACGCTCGTTGTGGAGACTTGCCGCTTCACTTTCGGAGGAAGTCTCGCACGAAACGCGCATTTTGGAGGCTTCCATGGAGCTTCACTTTTGGAGGGAGTCTCGCACGAAACGCTCGTGTTGGAGACGGGGCGCTTCACTTTTGAAGGAGGTCTCGGGCAAAACGCTCGTTTTGGAGACTTGGCACTGCACTTGTGGAGTTGGACTCAGACCTGGCCAGTTTGTAGTGCAAATGTAGGACGGGAAGAAGCTTTTCGGAGCTGGACTCAGAAGTGGCCAGTTTGTAGTACAAATGTCGTACGGGAAAGAGCTTTTCGGAGCACAAACTGCGAAAGTTGTTTGAGGCGTGGACGCAGCGCTACCCAGATGTCGGTGACTTGCGAGAGGTCAAGAACTTGCAGAAAAAAGGTGTTCCTGCGCGTCAGAGAGACATACAGAGAGAGACACATACACACACAGACATAGATTTACACACGCACAGAGACCCACACACTGCCTCAACACACTAGACTTAACACTTCACACGGAACACTTAACACACAACTCACACTCTAACTTCACACGTGGTGAAATATGCTTTCGGGCCACTCGTCATCTAGTGTTTCTTAATGCTTGACTTCTTTAGTGGGCTTGGTTTGGGGCTTGGCTTCTTTGGGGGTTGTTTGCGCTTGGCTTAAGGTTGACTTCTTTCGGGTTTCGTCAGGTTTGATTTGGGCGTTCGCATTTAGCGTTTGCTTGGGCTCTGTTTAGGGCTTAGCTTCTTTGGGCTTTGGTCGGGCTTGGTTTACGGCTTGGTTTTGCCCTATCTTCAATCCTTCCAATTTGTAAAAGCTCCCTGCCAAAGGACAAAGCAGAAGTGCACGAAGGGGTTCGCCCCAAGCTTCAACCCTTCCAAAGGAGAAAATGATCGAAAAAGGGTAAAATACAGGTGCGCGAAGGGGTTCGCCCCAAGCTTCAATTATGCAATGGGGTACAATCCTTACGCGAGTTTGATTGGGTTTGGTTCAGGGCTTGGCTTCTTTAGGCTTTGTTTTGGCTTGTTTAGGGTTGGTATAGGGCTTGACTTCTCTGGGTTACTGAGGTTTGGTTTCAGCATTCACTTCTTTTGGGATTGCTTTGGCTTTGTTTAGGGCTTGGCTTCTTTAGGCGGGTTTGTTTGGGCTTCGCTTAGGGCTTGGCTTCTTTGGGGTTTGCTTGTTCTTGGTTTAGGGTTGACTTCTCAGGGTTTCTTTGGGCTTGGTTTAGGCTTCTTTATACGGTTTGTTTGTGGTTGGTCTAGGGTGAACTTCTTTAGGGTTTCTTCCTTTTTAGGGCTTCGCTGCTCCAAGGTTTGCTTGGGCTTTGTGAAGGGCTCGCCAGCGGGTTTCTTGCTTCCGCTGGCTTCCGCGTGCCGTGGGGAGAACTCCGAATCAGCGACCAGTTGGTGACTGATTCGGCGTTCTGGTGGCCGTTTCCTGGTGTCCAATTCGGACGCCGCCCCACATCCAATGCCAAAAAAACACCGCCCTCCAAACGTCAATCCCAATGTGACTACGCAGAAAACTGCGGCTCTCACAAACTACGCTGCACCTGCGCAGTGAAATGATCCTCCACACTTCAACGTCTTACGTTTCCCCGTTAATTCGCACGAATCTGACACGTCATGCTTTCATCCGAAACCCTCTCCAAAACCCTCCCCCAATGTCAGCGCCTTAGCGGTTGCAAACGGTTGCGAACGGTTGCGGACGGTTGAGGACGGTCAAGGATCTATACCCCCAGACCCCCAGAGTTAAACGAGAACCCTTCGCTACGCATTCGGGAAAACTGCATGAGCCTTCAGAGTTTTGAGCTAGACCAGCAAGGGCAAGCTTGAAAGGCCCAGAACTGCCACTCTCGAAAGAACAAAAGAAAGGCCGTCGCTATAGTAGGGTGGTAGGTAGTCAGTAGGGTCTTAGTAACTAGTAGAACTAGTAGGTTTACTCCCTTACTTGGAGAACAGAAGAACCAAAAAACTTGTGGAACGCAGAGGTGGTACGCGCCTGTCGTTGCTTCAAACGGAGTCGCTACTACAGCCTGCAACAGGAGCCTGGCGTGTCACAGTCACGCAGAGTTAGATGTGGACAAGCGTATTGCTATTTTTCAAACATGGTTAAACGCAAAGTGACATTTTCTTGGGTAAACTTTCTTGCGCATCTTTGCCCCTGGCTTTGCCTTCTCCTTTGCTGCTTGCGTCTGTCCAGACCGGACTGACCTCCCAGGAGGATGGAGAAGCCGAAGCGAGCGCCGTGGAGGACAAGCGGCAAAATGTGAACGTTCTCCTTGGAGAGGTGGAGTCGGTGGAGTGCGAGAGGGTGAAGTGGAGACGAGTACACTTACTGCTGCCACGACACTGTTCCACATGTCCACAGCCTTCCAAAATCGCTGCAAACAGCTTGGAAATCAGCGCTCTAAGCGCGTGGTGTTTGAGCACATCCACCTAGCTTTTGGCCCAAACCCTGGCTTTTTCACCTTCCCGTGTCCTCAATGCTGGACCATCATGCGCAACAGCTCGCGTGGAGGGGGTTCCCCTTGATATGGGCTTGGACTAGCGCCTACGATTTCTGGATTCTCGCCCGGCAGAGAATTCCGAGTTGCCTTCTCCGATGCGAACTGGGGTCAATGTCGCTGGGCGCAAAATGTTTTTGGACAAGAGACTAGAGACGCTTTGTCGCGGAGCCGAGAGCGTGCGCCCGGTCTGACTCAGATATCAGCGCTGGCAAGTTAAAGAGCCCAGGCCCACGCTTGATCTAGCTTCTCAATGGCCAATGTTTTCGGCGTGGGGACCGAAAACGCCACTTTAGATATCGCTGCGAGATCCGAAGGCTGCCTTCAACATGTTGCGAGGCAGCGTGTTGCTTTAATCGACGAGGCCACTCGCCAGTGTGACCGAGCGTTGCGCTGTCCGGTCAGGCAGGCCGCGCTGTTTGCAGCTAAGGCGCTGTTGTTGGCGCTAGTTGCGTCTTCGCAACAAGTCCGGCTGCGTGAATGGCTACTACACTGAGGCCAGACGAAGCGCCCTCAAGTTTCTCTGTCTCTCTCTGCGTCTCTCTGTGTCTCTCTGTGTCTCTCTCTCTCTCTCTCTCTCGTCTCTCTCTCTCTCTCTAGAGACAGAGAGACCTCTCCCTCTCCTTCTCGCCTTGTGGATTGATACCAGTTCTTTTCTGACAGCTTGATCAAGCTTCTGTCACAGCAGATTTGACGTCCGCAGATTTCTTGGGGTGTATGGACCCGGGCCATTTCACTGACCCGCTCACAGGCTGGATTTGTGCATGACATGTGGCTGCTGTTTCGCGCAGAGCCACGCTCTCACAAATATGGGTTTGTGTTTTTAAGGTGTCCAGGTTATGTAGGGCTGGGATGTTCGACATAAACCTTCACGCTGTGCAAAGCATACCCCCGAAGCATATCTCCGAAGCGCGCCCGATAGTCAAACATCCCGGCCCGGGAACGCCAACAAATACAAACCCACATTTCAATTGCGTGGCAAGGAGGCGACGGGCTACTTTGCAAAGACGCACCGCTCGCTGAGCCCTTTCCGCTCCCGCCGAGCGCTTCAGCGACCCCTGACCTTCTTTGGGGTTGATCAGGATGCTTGTCGGGCCATGTCGTTCGTTGAGATCGTCTGATTGTGATCTCTGTGTGCAAGATGATGTAGTGCAGTTGATCTGTCCTGTTTCCTTGCGGACTCGGCCTATTATAATGTTCTTGCAAGACTTACAGACCACCTTTGGACGAGTTGCTATGGCCTTCTGGGTTACGAGAACACGCAGAGCTCGAGGTGCGCGGAGCATCCACAATGACAAGATGTACATAATAGTTTAATCATTGCGCAGCTCCATGCGTATTTCTGCGGACACGCAGGATTGTGGACCGAAAGCATATGTTATCATTGATTACTCATGATGCGCTGAGGGATTTGCGCTGTGCAAATACAAAGGTTGCGGTGAGGAAAATAGGTGCGCGTGTGCTTCAACTTGCGCAGAGATATTTCAGAACACGTAAACCCATATCTCGGTTCAATTATGCGTTTTGCTTTGGACGTGCGCCTGTTGTGTTCCTCCAGAATTACACCCTCAAGACAATAGGCGCTTCAGCGAGAAATTACGACTGGCTGTGGAAATACAAGGTCATGTTTCTCAAAGCATTCATACATTCATACACGAGTATTGTTTAAATCCCAGAAGGTAGTTCTTCTTAATTACAAAAGGGCAAACAGCGAGTATGGCTATGCAAATGCAAGGTCGTGCTTCTCAACGCGCGCGCGGTAATGTTTGACATTACACCAAGGTGTGACTCTGGACAAGCAGCAGGTTCTATCAGACGCAATGGGCTATGGAGAGAAAGCGAGCGTGGCCGTGAATACGTGGGTGTTTTTTGGCGAAGCGCTATAGCTATGTGGCGGCGGAAACGCGCGGTTGGTTTCGAAATACACCAATGTAAAGGCGATAAACAAAATGTTTTTTCGCGAAGTGCAGAGTATGGCCGTGGGAATGCGCGGTGTTGTTCTTCAAACTAATGCAGGACCTATAGTTCAACTCACGAAGGTATTTCTCTCTATAAGGCTTTTCTGTGCATAAGGGTTTTGGTGAAAACGCTGAGTGTGCCAGTGGGGATGCACTGTTCTGTTCTTCGACGCATAAAAACGAGTATATGTTACCAGGAGCAAAAGAGTGTCAAGCCAAGAGGTAGACCTTTCCCCTGGAGGTCGTTGAGCGGAGAATTCCGCGGCAACTCGGGCGGTAACATGTAGCTCATGACCCTCTCCGTCTTGGATGCCGTTGGCGTCGTCAGCGATGATTTTGCGGCCTTGTCTCAACACTCTTAGAGCTTTCCTTCCTAGCAAGAGCTTTGCAGTGTCAAAGTGTGCGGCTCATCTCTCACCCAGGCAAGGCTTTCCGTGACTAGAGCCGCATCGTTCTGGGAGCTGAACTGAATGGGATATTGCTGGAAGTGTTATCGCGCAAACGAACTTGACGTATCTTGTCCAGAACCCTTCTGCTGAAACAAACGGAGAGCTCTCTTTGCTGGGGTGGGTTTTGGCTTCTGTGTCATGGACCTCATCTTTCAGGCTCGCGTTGCTGTTTGGGCTTGGTTGCCGGCATCTTGTTTGGCGTGGAGCGCGTGCAAGCGACTTCATGACCCTGATCTTGAACTCTCGAACTCTCTGATCTCAGCAACGTCGCGCGGGCCGTGGTAGCTAATCGCTCGACAACCAATGTCAGGCTTGAGGTCAGAGCCTTTGGCGCCCCTTTGTTTTGGGCTTCGATACTTCGCCACCTTGGTCTGGAGCGCCAAGGGTTGAGCTGGAGGGGGTGTGGCTGAATCTAGAAAAGGCTCCAACCTGCAGCCTGCGTGCAGCGCCCATATAGCCTCAACTGCGCGCAGTGTACTTCCTCGTTTGCTGCAGATCTGCTCCTCTGTTTTCAATCTCGGATCGATCGAGCTGACTGCGCAAAAGACGCATTCGCTTGATGCATTTGGGTGCTTCTACGAGAGAAACAAACAGCTCAGCCAGCCGACGCCTGTGGTGCCTGTGGTGCCCGTGCCAGGTGCTGATGAAAGCCTCCCTGGCAGGCGGGAAGGATGAACACATATTTCTCCAAACCAATTTTTTTGGATTTGTTAAAAAGTAGAACCTAGCGGTGCCTGCAGTATTTTCAGCTTGACATTGAGACTGTGTTCAAGGCATGATTGGCGTCACAGTCCTTTGTGTGGCACTTGAATGGGCAACTTCTCTTTCTACGCATTTCAAAATTGTAAGAAGCGTCAATCTTGCGTCGAACGTGTTGAGCCTTACAGCTGCAAGACACCAGGCTTTGGGGTTCAAACTGACAAGTTTCCAGCGAACGCGTTCCAATCTTTGGAGGGTTGGACTTCGGAGGTGGGAGTTCAGCTCGAAGACTACTTATTGAAAAGTGCAATGCTTTCCGACGTATTCTGACCGAGTTTGCAAAAACCATGCGCCAATGCGGGTGCTCCATCTCTCAGCTATAGAAGCGCCAAGCCGACGAGCTGGTGGGCGGTCTGCTTCGCGATGCGTTGCAGAGAAGGAAGTGACGATGATGTTGAGGTCATGATGCTGATGATGCGGCGCTGTTGCAAGCTGTTGGCGAAGTTCAACTTGTCGTTGACTTGCCATGTGCTTTGAAAATTGAAAATAGGTCCGTTGATCTCACCAGTGCTTACTAGTGAAGCTCGCAGCTGCTCCACAATTTCGGCAAGCCAGTTTGTCGGACAAATTTGATTTTCTTCGTCAGATTTAAACACACGTAGCGACGTCCTGTAGTTTTGGCGACAAGACAAGATATGTCGGTGCGTCGGTCTTCGCTGACAAAAGGGGCCACGCAGCGCCCGAGGCCTTGTGAGAACGCAGGGCTTCACGGAGGATGAGATGGACAAACTTGCTGTTTGGGCGCCCTAGATGTGACAGCGACTCACGTGCTTTTTCAGAAGCCCTCCCTCGCGCGCAAGGACGTCCGAGTTGTGGACGAGGAGTACGAGTGGCTGCGCTTCAAGGAGGACTCGCCTTTGGTGCCTTGGATGTCATCAACCCCAAACTCAAAGGAAGACGCGCGGGGTAGGCCGGTAGGAGGAGTAATTAGCTTACACGTAGCTTCAGTTCTGCCTGCAAGGGAGAGCTTGTTCAAACAGCCGCTCAGCCACCCACACGTAGGACCAGCGCAACCGCCTGGCTTTTGGGCCTGAGCAACAAACGACTTCGCGCTTTGCATGGTAGCGGAGCTGTGGCTGTAAGGTGTCCACTCCGCTGCCTATACGCCATTGTTGCCGCGACCCGCCAGGGGCCGCCGTTTAAAGCGGGGGACCTCTAAGGCTTCTAAGGATCACAATCCACGCATCGCTTGCGGTGAAAGAGAAGAAACGGAAGAATGGAGTATTAAGGGAGGAAAAACTGCTGGTGGAGCAGTGATTGTCCCGCTAAGCGGTAGCTGATATCAAAGGTTAGAATTCATTTAAAGGCTTACGCCTGACAGCCGAGCGCCGGCCCAACAGAGTAGAAAAGTAGGACGGCGGAGGCCAAAGATAGGAGGTGAGGTGAGCGAGATGTCGGGTAGGGCGGAAACATCCCTGAAGTCTCTCTCCCTCTGTCTGTCTGTCTGTCTGTCTGTCGGTCGGTCGGTCGGTCGGTCGGTCGGTCGGTCGGTCTGTCTGTCTGTCTGTCTGTCTGTCTCTCTGTCTCTGTCTCTCTGTTTCTGTCTCTCTGTGTCTGTGTCTGTGTCTGTGTCTGTGTGTGTGTGTGTGTGTCTCTCTCTCTCTCTCTCTCTCTCTCCGCGCCTCTCCCCGTGTCTGTCTCTGTCTCTGTCTCTGGCTATGTTTCCCATATCTGGTTGAGGCTTTCTTGGCCCATCTACGGGCTATGTTTCCCATATCTGAGACCGATGTAGGGTCAAGTTCCACCAAGAGTTTGACCATTGACGCAAATGTCTACACCAAGGCTTAAGAGCTTTGCTCGTACCGGTGTGTCGTTGGCAGGCTGGTGTCTTGCAGACGTTGGCCGGATCCATGTAAAATCCCACGCGACAATCTTGGAAGTGTGCGCTCCGCTCCACGTATGCTTGTACAAGCAGGGCGCTCTGGGCTTGGGAGTTCGAATTGGAGCTAGAAAGAAAGGGCAATCAGTGATGGATGTGAGAGAAGACTTTGACGTGGAAGAGAAAGAGAAGCATCTGCTGGAGGTAGTGACCGATGCGGACCAGTGCTGGCAATCAAAATGACAAGAGCGACGTCGTTCCAGATCTTCATCCAAGCCACAGAACACAACACACGAGTTTAATTAAGCAAGCAACGGTGGCTGGACGCTCAGATGGACATATCCACCATTTATGGATGCAGATGAGAGGAATGCCGCGCGAAGGTGCGATTAGATAGCTCAGCAGCGCGTGCAATGGTGCAGCGCCAACGCAATGGAAGAGTACGCCATCTTGACGCAGCACTTCTTTCGGTCCAGCAGAAAAGGAGAAGGCGCTGAAATTCCAAAAGGTTTGAATTGTGCTGACATTGGCGCAAAGAATTTGTATGGCAGGCGACTCTGTGGACAGCGCGGGAGATCGCATTGGGGAGGAAGAGCGCCAGGAATTGCGCGTGGGTTTGGTTTGGCTGCTTGCAGGAACGCCCTGAGGAAGAAGGACAACAGGCTAGTGGATTGAAATGGATGATGGTTGGGGCTTTGAGCATCTTTGGATGGTTGTGGCTACATCGCTAAGCTTGCCCTGGGCACTGGCAGGAACCACATCAAGGGCCATGCTCAGGGACATGAAGCCTTACCACAACCGGATCGATTTCCACGCCTTGGAAGTCTATGAGGAGAATGCAGTGGATGGATGTGCAGAATGAGATTTGCAGATTGGAGCTCTACGCTGATGAGCTGGAGGAAGACGCCAGGAAGGCTTGAGAAGAGCGGCAGAGAAGCATGTTCAGAAGCTGATGGAACCCGCTTTGCAGTATACAATATCTTCGAAAATGGGAAAGTGATCATTTAGATCAGGACTGCCGACATTTTGCGAAGGCACCTTCTTCCCCACGTGTTCTAGATGCGTGGGTGCAGGGAAGTGTACAGCCACTTGTTTTTAGGCCCGAGCGATAAAGGATTTCGCGCTTCGCGCATTGTGAAACTTAAAGAGCAGACAATTTCAAACATGGTCCTTTTTGTTTTACATTTTTTTGCAAAAGTTCGCACAAGGACGAGAATAAAAACGATGGAGCGAACCGCCCAAGCGAACTTTGTGTGTGGTGTACGGCTTCAACACACAAGTGAAGATGCGTGCATGCTTTCACATTTTATCGAACATGAACAAACTCCAGAAAAGAAACGACAATAGTTTGAGAGGCTTCTGCGTGGCTTCTCAGGTCTTGTACTTAGCCACAGTGGAGATGCTCATTTGCGGCTCATGTGCTGTCACAGCTGCTGCAATGTACCAGCGGAGAGGGTCAGAGCCCAAGGTGTTGGTACATCGTCGGAGTCGGTTCGATTTTCTTTTGAATTGTCAAAGCTCTCAAACGCCGTCCTATCTTGAGTGAATTGGAGCAGCAGAACGTGGTAACGCCGGGTGCTGTTTGGAACCTTAAGCCTTAAGTGCTGTTTCGGTTGGGAGTGGTTCGCTTTCTCGGAATTCCAAGCTTGCGTGCTGCGTTCGGGGTGGGCAGGGTAGACAAACAAGCATATCGATTTGCGCTTTAGAGTTATTTGCAGTTCCCATCAGAAAGCAAAATGCAGTTGGGTTTAAATCTCTGGGGCTGGGAGAGGTGTGTAGTTTGACATTGCGCACTGACAAGCGATGCGTTCCGGCAGCAGAATGCTGTTGGATTTCAATTTTTTGGGGCGTTCCAGCTGGGAGTCTTGCAACTTAATTTTGAAACTTTGCTGCCACTGAAGCCTCAACTTGGAACGGCGCGGGTCAGGTGTTGTGATCGGACTTCCGCTTGACTGTAAGGTGCTGTGATTGGTAAGCCTGGGCGTTGTGGTTTGGTGTTAGGTCACGCAGGTGCTGTGATTGGCCTTGGGCCCTGTTGATTCCAATCGCTGCAGCTAAAAACTTGGGGCAACGTTTCTCAGCGTGGACGGGAGGCCGACTGCGCAGATCGTTCGATAGATGGCCGCGGTGTGGTATAAGATCAATTGCGCGCTGGACCGGTGACCAAATACCAATGGCCTCCGGCCTAAGAGCACTGGCCTCCAATCATAGGAAGGCTTCCAGCCTAATAGCGATGGCCACGAACCTAAGAGCAATGGCCTCCAACCTAAT